ATGCAAAAATTGAGTGTCATACATGCAAATAAGTTTATTTTCTTCTATGACACAATAATTTAGATGCACGCCAAACTTACAGTTAGCCATGTATAGTAACCTCATACAAATGACATCTAAATTTGCATTCTCTAAATGCCATACCACAGGCCTTGGAGTATGTTTTATTCCTTACCATAATGCTAATTTTCAATTGTATGTTTCTCATAATGCAGGATGTTTATTTGAGTAGTTGATAGTGTAAAAAATTGTCAAAGGTCTTGCATCTTTTTTTACAGGCACTTGACCTAATTCGTGGTATGAACTTTCTGATGCTGATGGATTCTGGTTTGGAGGGGCATTTCTCAAAAGATGATGGAAATGAGATAGTAGGTTGGCATCCCGCTGTTTGCAATATAAATAAATTTTGTTTCCTTATGTTGGCTTAGGATAAACCAACATTTCTTAAAACCTTCTGCATTGAAGTTGAAGTCAATGCATTTTCATTTTTGTTATTCTTAAAGCTTCAAATTTTAAATTTATGTTTATTCATAAGAGGAATTTTCATATTTACATATCTAAAACCTAAACTTTAATATTTATACCACCCAAATCTTTCATATCACATCAAACATACCACCTTTTTTTAACTTAATACATAGGAATCGAGTGGTATGTGTGCAAATCATCCTAAAATTTTTTTTTTTTTTCATTTTCTTTCATCCAATAACAAGCTCAATGAGCAATTTTTCTGAGTTGTTTCATACTCTGTATAAACCAGCCTTGATTTGAACAGGGCTAGCTTCTTTCCATTTGCAAATAATGTTATTTGAGAATATATAATTTTTTTTTCTGCATTTATGTTAATAAAAATAAACTCAAATTTTTATGTTATAATTTTTATTTATTGTCTTGCGGAGGAGGACTAAAGGAAAGATGCAAAAATTGAGTGTCATACATGCAAATAAGTTTATTTTTTTCTATGACACAATAATTTAGATGCACGCCAAACTTACAGTTAGCCATGTATAGTAACCTCATACAAATGACATCTAAATTTGCATTCTCTAAATGCCATACCACAGGCCTTGGAGTATGTTTTATTCCTTACCATAATGCTAATTTTCAATTGTATGTTTCTCACAATGCAGGATGTTTATTTGAGTAGTTGATAGTGTAAAAAATTGTCAAAGGTCTTGCATCTTTTTTTACAGGCACTTGACCTAATTCGTGGTAAGAACTTTCTGATGCTGATGGATTCTGGTTTGGAGGGGCATTTCTCAAAAGATGATGGAACTGAGAAATTCGTGGTAAGAACTTTCTGATGCTGATAGATTCTGGTTTGAAGGGGCATTTCTCAAAAGATGATGGAACTGAGACAGTACGGTTGGCATCCCGTTGTTTGCAATATAAATAAATTTTGTTTCCTTATGTTGGCTTAGGATAAACCAACATTTCTTAAAACATAGGAATCGAGTGGTATGTGTGCAAATCATCCTAATTTTTTTTTTCATTTTCTTTCATCCAATAAAAAGCTCAATGAGCAATTTTTCTGAGTTGCTTCATACTCTATATAAACCAGTCTTGATTTGAACAGAGCTAGCTTCTTTCCATTTGCAAATAATGTTATTTGAGAATATATAATTTTTTTTTTTCTGCATTTATTCTGATAAAAATAAACTCAAATTTTTATGTTATAATTTTTATTTATTATCTTGCGGAGGAGGACTAGAGGAAAGATGCAGCTGATTTACCAATCACAAGGAGCTCAAATTCAAGATCTGAAACAAGAGAACTCTGAAGACTCTAGCTATGCCTGCAGCACCAGTTCATGGAGTCAGACTAACAGTTTCTCCTGATACCTCAAGTTTCAGCAGCGATATGTTGAATTTCACTAACAAGAAGGCAAAGAGAAAACATCAACTTAAGAACAACAGCCGGGAAAGAACTACTGCAATTCTTGCTCCAATGGTATGAGCTCTAGGTTTACAGAAATTAGTTTTAGTAATTTAAGTTGTATGTAAAACATAAGAAGAATTAAATGTTCAATACAATTATTTTTAGATTTAGATTTTTATTCTAAGATTTTATTTGTATTTTTTGTACTCTTATTTAGTTTGTACATTTTAAAATTTGTAATAAATTGATTCTTATTTTTTAAGTTTTTGTCAAATAATATTAATATTCTTGTATAAAATTTTGTAATCAATTTTGTAAAGTTTTTTAAATTCATCATTTTTTTAAGTTAATAAATCTCTGAATTTTTGTATGAAATTTATCTTTGAAAAATTTTTAGACAAATTTATTATTTTTTTTAAAAAAATAATATTAATTAAATAATTTTATATTCCAACGAGCCATTTTCGAGCCGAACATGAACATGAAAATGTTATTCGAGCCAAACACGAACACACTGTTCACGAGCCATCTTTGAAAAATTTTTAGACAAATTTATTATTTTTTTTAAAAAAATAATATTAATTAAATAATTTTATATTCCAACGAGCCATTTTCGAGTGAGCCTGGGCTCGCTCAGGCTCGGCTCGTTTACAGCCCTAATCATAAGTTCTTTGCCTTTGATATTACTATGTTAATTTTATTTTAGTAAACTAATATTTTGTAAGAGGCTGATTAACATCCAATGATTGGCAATGCATTGATACCAAGTTAAAGCCATATTTTATTCCTTATGGAATTATTGAAGAGCGGCAAAGAGTTTGAAGTTGAACTTTATATAGGCCCCAACATATACAAAATAGTCATAAAGTTTTATATATTAATTTTGTAAAACCAAGTTTTCTTTTACATAGATATATGTTGCCATATCAAATCTTTTGTTTTCATAAATAAACAGAACTTTTAAAACTAGGTGCACATTTCTTGTAAGGATGAGTGACATTACTATTCATATATGCCAATAGTTCCTCTATCTACAACTTTTTATTTGCAGCTATGAGCATAATGAGATGTTTTAAAAGTGAAGCATATTAAATTCTCATGCAGCTCCTCAAGTTAGTTGTTGCTACAAAAAAAAGGAAAAGAACCATCCTTAGTTTTGTCAAAAGAAGCCACTTATGAATGCATAAGAGATAAAACTAGCTAAGGAATGAGTTATCTGGCCACCTACCATTTTTTATTCCATGTGAAAGTATTCAAAAAGAGAAAAAAAAGTTTGAAGTTGGACTTGATGTAAGCCGCAATATTACACAAAACAAAGATCATAATGTTTTATATGTTAATTATTTATTAAACCTTTTGTTTTCATGGATAGGAACAAGTTTTAAAACTTGACACAGATTTCTTGCATGGATGAGGGACATTGCTATTCATAAATGCCAATAGTTTCTCTTTCTACAACAATATCCTATTTGGTGCTATGAGCATGTTGAGAAGTTTTAGAAGTGAAAAAAATTAAATTCTCATGCAGTTAGTTGCCGCTACAAAAAGAGGCAAAGAATCATCTATAATTTTGTAAAGAATAATTACCTATGGATGCATAAGAGATAATAGTAGTTAAATGGGTGATTTCTTTGGCCGCCTACCATTTTCTAGTCCTTGTGGGAGTATTTAAGAATATAAAAAGAGTTTGAATTTGGACTTCGTGTATGCCCAAACATTACACAAAATGAAGATCATAATGTTTTATATGTTAATTTTGTGGACTCTCGGTGCTCATTTCTTGCATGAAGAAGTGACATTACTGATACAAAGTAAATTTATATGATTTTACTGTATTAAATGTCATATCAATTCTCTTATTTGTCATGACATTATGCTTGAGAAAGATGTTTTTGTTGTATTGTGCAGGATACAAGGCTTACGCCAATTGGGGAAAGAAAAGAGGTGAATTTGCAGCAAAAACGATGACTAGAATCTGCTCGCGCAAGCGAACGTGCATGTGCACACGCTCACCTCACACAACCAATGTGCGGCTATGTGTATGCCATCCACAGCTCTCCACAGCTCCAACCGGTGGACTCCAACCGCGGCAACACCTCCACGCAAGTCCACTTGGGGACGCTTGCACGCGTCCGCGGCAGTAGGTCCCAAATCACCGCTACCCGCACAGCCACACCCGCAACAGCGCAAATTCAGGAACCTGCAGCAGCGCAAATCCAGGCACCTGCAACAGCGCAAATCCAGTGTAAGCACTTGCGCGTCCGCGACAGCGTAAGAGCGCCTGCACACGCGACACGCATGTGCGTTCTCTCGCACGCGAGTGCTCACCTGTATGTGCACATGGGCGAGCACACGCCCACCAACCCGCCGAAACACAAATTTGCAGATTTTGACTGATCTGCAGAGATTTGATGCCTGTTTTGGACCTCTAATTCATGAACTAATTATAAATACATGAATTTATTATCATGAGAGCACTTTTGGCCTAGGAGGCTGCGCCTTTAAAGTTTAAGGAAGATTTTTGGAGCTCTTCGGGTTTTCTTCCTCGTGTTCACTCAAAGGAGTATATTTTCTTGTTTAATTTTCTTGTTCATAACTGTTTAAGGAATTTTATGATCTTGCAAGATGAGATTGAGGGCAATATGCATTTGAGAGATCTTTAAATATTTGTATTGATTGAAGAAGACTACAATGATTGCAAAGACCTATTGACTCTATATTGATTTTTTTGTACTTCTAATGTTGTCTCTTGTTTATACCCACAATAATAATTTTTTTTTATTTTCATTCATCATTCATTGTAACTATCTTATTTCGTTTTCCCGCGATACAAGTCTAGTGGATTTCTTGTGGTTTTCATAATGTGGATTTTGACACCTCTTTGGTGCATAAATTTTTTATATTGATGTGTTAACCCTCTGATCGTTCAAACGCGATAAGAATGATAAAATCCATTTGAAATATGACCTATGCCTTTTCAATAGTGAAACGTGTAAGTTAACCACAAAATCCTGATATAATAGGCATATTCTAATAGGATTTTGCAACATATCCAAGGGGATTGAAAGAATCTAAGGAAACACCATAAGGTTGAGCAAAACTTAATTTTATCGGTATCTCATCTTCTTTTGACCTTGTAAAGGCATAAGAAGAAACATTTTATCTCTTATTGTCAATAGTAGCTTGGGTTTCAAGGAAAAACCTAAAGAAACCACTTTACTGCTATAACAGGAATACGAATCTTGCATATCTGAAAAATTTAACACTTTTTACTATTATTTCTATTTACAGCCTTTTTAGGACTATTAGATTCATCACTTGAATTTGATCAGTTCAAACAAGATTTAGTGGTTCAGTAAATTAGAATTTTGTCTGTTAGAAATATTTTGACACTATTCTCGTGGAATCGATACGCGAACTCTTAGACCGCATATTACTTGACACGTATACTCGCGTGATTTACCGACTTCTCGATAAGTTTTCGGACATCAGTTCTGTTCATATGAGCCAATAGTTCCTCTCTCTACAACAATTTACTATTTGGCGCTATGAGTATATGAAGATTTTATAAAATGAAAAGACGATTAAATTCTCATGCAACTCCTTAGGTTGGTTGATGCTACAAAAATAGGCCAAGAACCGTCTGTATTTTTTGCCAAAGAAAGCCACCTATGGATGCACATTAGATTAAAGTAGTTAAAGGAATAAGTTCTTAATCTGGTCACCCACCATTTTATTTCTTATTGTGGAAGTATTCATGTAGAGAAAAAGAGGTCGAAGATAGACTTGATGTAAGCCCCAACAATACACAAAATGATGGCCATGATGTTTTATATAATATTTTTGTGGAGCCAAGTTTTCTTTTAAATCGGTAAATAGTACGTTATCGAACCTTTTGATTTCATGGATAAGACCAAGTTTTAAACTGGTACACAAGTCTTGCAAGGATGAGTGACATTACTATTCAAATGCATATATGCCAATAGTTATTATTTCAATGACATTTTCCTATTTTGGCACTGAGAATATTGAGAATTTATAAAAGTGAAGTAGATTCAAGTCATTGTAGCTCAATTTAATTGTTGCTACAAAAAGGAAGCGAAGAACCATCTTTACCTTTGTCAAAGAAAGCCACCTATGGATTCACAAGAAATAAAAGTAGTTGAAGGATTGAGTTCATTGACCACCAATTATTCTACATCTAGTGCTAATGAATGATGGGTGTTGTTCAAGGAAATTCAACAAATAATCATGAAATAATTGTTGTTTGTCACTAAGCTCGAAGTAAACAACAATGAAACGGTGTTAATGATTAAAAATGACGTGGTGCTGAAACAAAAATAAACTGAAAACAATGACAAAGTAAGCTACAGACTCGAGGAAACCAAGATATCATTGTAGATATGGAAAGCCGAATCAATATTGCAAACAAGTTCAATTTAATTTTCTCTCCCACATTTTTTGCACTTAAAGGGTTCCCTTAGAAAGCAATTATGATGTACGCTTACTGAACCAGACTATAATATTTTCTCAGCGAGGTAAAAGACAGATAAGATAAAGTAGTGAAACAACACAATTACTGGTTCCATCCATGTTAGGCTCTGTAGTGAAACTTCTTCATCCTCACCTTATTCTCTTTTTTCCCCCAAAATCTTACGACCAAATAAAAGATGCATATATCACCATGAAAGAAAACAAAATTATCAGAATCTTCAGAAAAAAGAGATTACAAACCAAAAAATATTCATTAAGGGTGCGGGTGCAGAGCGTGGACTTCTTGTTCTGTCATTTCATAATCCCATGGGCATATTCTTCTGTGAAAGCAGTTACCAGATTTGAATTTATTAATTAATGAGCCACCCTAGGAAATAAAGATTACTTAAGATGAAATCTATGTTCACTCTTTCCTCTCACAATCTCACTATCAAGAGTCAGAGGGAACACACTATTTGGGCTTCATGGATGATCTGTGATGAAATCCATCTCTCACATAACATCCACCCCTCTAACAATGATCACCTCAGATGAGGCCCGG